AATTTTTAATAAAAAATTAGAAAATCACATAGTCTATAAAAAAGACAACTTTTTTCATATAAGGAGTAATAATGTTTTGTGTTATTCTTAGAAATCTTGAATCATATGAATCTTATTTGAGGACATAATCCATAAAATGAATTTTTTATAAGTTTTAAGAAGTATAACAAAGTACTCCCTTCCCAGTTGCCTGCCCTCAGAGTAAAGAGTACATTTTGGTAAAATTCTTTAAATGACTAGTAAAAAACAGCAGTGATACTTCTTTGTGCTTCTGATTATTTGTTTAAACTTATCATTTTTCACAGAAAATTGAAACTCTCAAAGAGACAACAAATGTAAGTTACGTGTTTGGTAAACTCTGGCTTTACATTAGAAAGTGCTTTAAAATATCATTTCTATTTTAAGCTGTTGATTAAATTAATAAATTGCTCTACTAATAAGAGCAGTTGAGATTTTAATTTTTATAAATTTTTACAAGGGTGTTTAAGAATTTTATTATTTTCTAAAGGATATAAAGGGACTTGAATAATCCTTCTAATTAAAATTCACTTCGTGGACCATTTTACGTGTTTCTGATCTTATCTGTCTTAAGATCCTTGGATAAAAGGTATCATCCATGCACAATGTATATTCTCTTTTTTATAATTAAAATATATTGTGATTCACGTTTTCTGATGTACTGGCCTTCTCACATTATATAATAGGCTACTCATAAGATTTGTATTTTGACAAGAGCAGTTTTAAAAACAGGCAAAGTAGTAGTATTCAGGCTTCACCGTATTGTGATAGGATTCTTTACTCTTCATAATTCCTTAAAAGTCTTGAATAGATATTTTAGAAATTTACACTGGGATTGTCTGCTATTGATCTAAGAATTTGGAAATTAATCAGACTCACATCTTTTTCTGTTTGAAGTGTTGAAAAACCATTTAGAATGTTATTGAGTACAAATTAACAATTTTTTGGCATTGTTTAATGATAGAATTGCTTATGATAACTTCATCTAACACTGTTAGTATATTAGAACCCACTGGAATCCAGAGAGGGTATTTCTTGTGTAGTATAAACTTAAATCCTGTACATCTGAACTGATTTTTATTTTTATTTTTATATTTTAAGCTTTAATGTCATATGACCATTTTATTTGGTGCAAGATTCTAAAATCAGTGTTCTGTTTTTATAGAGCATGGTAGAATCAATTAAACACTGCATTGTGTTGCTGCAGATTGCTAAAGTAAGTAAATTTTACTTTACTTTCATTTAATGAGATGTAAAAATTATAATGGCATTTCTCTTTAATAGCCAGGAACTTGGTTGTGAAATATGTACCTTCCTCCAATAAGTTGTATTGTGGGCTTCCTGGTACTATTGAACAACTATTGTATTAAGATATTAACCTTAGCAGCATGTGCCTGTTTTTGATAAGGTAATTTCTGATACGGTGACTGGGAAAGAGGGGAGTATTGTTTGAATGACTCACCTCTTCCTTCCTTCTTATCCATTATCACTGCTTAGAGCAAGGACATATTTTGCAAAACCTTTCACAGAAAAGTTTTTCTTAGGAGAAAAGGAATTAAATTTTAGCAAGAGTTCTTTTTCTCATCCATAATAAGGAGTATAATAAAGATATATATATTTTTAATTTTGTTGTAGTTTTTTTCTGTTACTAAACTACATTAGTGAACCGCTACTTTAAATTGCTATTCTTATTCATGCAATAATATGTATTTTGAATTACTGTGGTGCGGTAAAAATTTCATGGTTATTGTGCCTGCTTTTCTGAAAAATTTTGGTGTATTCAACTTAAATGTTGATTTGATTGCTTGATATTTTGAGGAATAAGCATTTTAGTGTTTGAAAAGAAGAATTAAAAAAAATCCCCCCCCCCATTATTTCTACTGACTGTACCTCTGTATTTCTAGCCAGTGGCTAGAAGAGGGTAGACAGGCAATTCAGTAGCCACTATTTGGAGTGATGTTTGCATGGATTTTTAATTACTGGCCTATTTTACTTATTCAGTTGCATGTATTTGTTTGCCTGATAATGGTCACTTTTTATTACCTAGTATTGTTAATGACACAATTATATAGGACAGTCTATTGGTGCTTAGATGGGAAGGATATTCAGCATATAAGTTAAAGGAGGGCAGTGTCATTTTCTTTTGAGGTTAGATTCAGTATATTAAAGTGTCAGAATTTAAGGGCTTATGTTCACTTTCTGGGTGTTTTGTTTGTTTTACCACTATGCCTGATTTCCTATATGTGTGTGTGTCTAAATTTTCATCTACTTTTGTGGATCAGAATATATTCTAAAGGGAGGATAGGGTTGGAGGCGTAAAAGAGATGGTAAGGTTTTTGTTTTTCTTGACTGAGAAATTTTATGGGTGGTTGGGTCACCTACTGTTACCCAAAAGCCTCTACAGTGTATGGATAACCAGTAAACTACACCTTGCTCAATGTGAATAGGTAGGTATTTTAGGGATTCACACTGCCTTCTCTGGAAGATTGAGGAAGTAGAAGAGCTGATAGTGTTTAGACTGGTTTGGATAACCTCTACAAGTCATTTAAGACTTTAGATAGTTGTGGCGCGCCTGGGTGGCTCAGTTGGTTAGGCGACTGCCTTCGGCTCAGGTCATGATCCTGGAGTCCCGGGATCGAGTCCCGCATCGGGCTCCCTGCTCA